CTTTAGGTGATCATATTAAATAAAAAATTCAAAAAAAAAAAAAACATTGTCAAGCCATGACGAAAACGTTTTCTTCACACCTCATCGACTACGTCATAAGCAATGAACTCTAATCCCTATATATACATAATATCGAAAACCAACCACTTCACTATATATCTATCCATTTCCTACTGCAATTAACTACTACTAAATTTGTTGTGATATCTTTAAAAAACAAAAATTAAGAAAATGGCAAAATCATGTGAGAATGGACATCCAGTAAAGGCCTTTGGATGGGCAGCTAGAGATACTTCTGGTATTCTTTCTCCTTTCAACTTTTCAAGAAGGTAATTTTCTTTTATCTTCCTTTTGTAATATTACTCCTTCCGTTTCAATTTATGTGAACTTGTTTGATTGGGCACCAACTTTAAGAAAAAATGAAGATTTTTGAAATTTGTGGTCCTAAACAAGTCATAATATTTATATGGCTATAATTATTTGAAACTTGTGGTAGTAAACATGCCAGAGTTTTTGTGTGGTTATAAAAACTTCTTATTAAGGGTAGAATTCGAAATTCAAGCTAAATTATTTTCATATTTAGAAAGGATTATTTTTTTTAACGGACCAAAAAAGAAATAAGTTCACATAAATTGAAACAGAGACAATATGATTTATGCTTCTCTCTTTTATGGAAGTTTTGGTTATGAAAAACTCTAATGGAGGTTTGGTTTTGGAATGGGTGCAGAGCCACGGGTAAAAAGGATGTGCAATTTAAAGTTATGTATTGTGGAATTTGCCATTCTGATCTTCATCAGCTCAAGAATGAATGGAGTAATAGCATATATCCAATGGTACCTGGGTTAGTTCCATTTTCTTACTTTTCATTTATTTATTTGCATATGAATTAAAGTTGTATATGATGACGTGTTAATATGTCTAATCTAACTTGTGATAACATGTTAATTAACATTTATATCAGGTTTTTAATCGGGGTATTATCACTTTTAGCCCATGCCAGAAATATTTATATTTGGTAGCCGAAAAAGTGTACAAAATTTATATAATTTTTGTATATAACATACAGAATATATATATATATATAT